GCAGATTCTTAATAAGCCTAGCATTTCCTAAAAATCTCTAAGTAGTAACCTTCCAAAGTATTAAGGTAGTCTGTTGCACAAAGACTTGGGTCTAAAAATATACATTCCACTCCTGACAATCATTTCTTAGTGCCTCTGGTCTTGCTTTCCTCCCATTTTATATCAGTGAGATAAAAGGTATCACAGGACCCACCCTAAAGGAAATCTCATTACAACCTTTAATTAGGGCTATCTTTTTTTTTAACTTTTCTAAATTTATTTTAGTGTTATTATGATTTGTTTAGAAAGGTAGTAGCTTTCCTTTCCCTCTCCCTTTCTTTTCTTTCTTTTTTTATTGTAATGAAAGTTTACAGAGACTTTAGATTTCCTTCCATTCATTCATTGCTGCACACTTTCCTCCCTGCCCACCACTTGAATCCAGTTTGCTTTTCTGTTTGAAAGGTAAAAATAAATAAATAAATAAATAAAAATAAATTCATTGTTACACAATCCCACCACCACCACCACCACCACCGCCCGCCCCAGTCCACTCCACCATGCAGTTCTCATTCTGGACTCTTGTCATGAAAATAATACTTAATCATATATTCTTTTTAAACAGTTCTCTCCCTCATCTGTTTCAATGCTGTATATACATTATTTATCCTCTTTTCTTAGTTTCCCCCCAACGATGATGTCAGTCATGCTTTACAACACCGGCATTATAACGTATTTGTCCTTTTGTGACTGATATATTTCACTCAGTATAATGTCCTCCAGGGTCACCCAATTTGTATAGTATTTCACGAACTCCTTGTTTTTCAGTGCTGCATAGTATTCCATTGTGTGAATATACCATAGCTTCTCTATCCATTTGTTTGTTGATGGGTTGTTTCCAACCCTTTGCTATTGTGAACAAAGCTGAAATAAACATGGGTGTGCATATTTCTGCTTGTATGGCAGTTACGGTTTCTTTAGGGTATATTCCGAGTAGTGGAATTGCTGGGGCAAATGTTTTTCTATTTCCAACATTTTGAGAAAGCACCATACTACCTTCCATAGCGGGTGCACCATTTTACATTCCCACCAACAGTGAACAAGGGTTCCATTTTCTCCACAACCTTGCCAGCATTTGTTGTTTGCTGTTCTGTTAAATCTTGCAATTCTGACTGGTGTTGAGATGATATTCCATTGTTTTAATTTGCATCTCTCTTAGAGCTAGGGATTTTGAATATTTCTTCAAGTGTTTGTTCACCACCTGAATGTCTTCTTTGGTCAAGTGTCTGTTCTTATCCTGTGCCGATTTTTCAATTGGGTTGTTTATCTTCTTGTGGTGACCAATTACATTCTTATGTACAATAATCACAGCTCTCAATTCTGAAATCTTTCATCACCCTTAACAGAAATTGAGCTCAGGTGGTCCAGCGGTAAGAAGCTGCACTGCAATTCCAAAGGCATAAAGTTCAAATCAACCAGCTGCTCCACTGGAGAAGGATGTGTAATTTACTGCCTCTAAAAACCCAATGGAGTGTCAGCTATGAGTCAGTTCCAACAGGACAGCACACAGCAGTACCAAGAGAAACTAAGTACTGCAAAAAAAAACATGCCTTTCACTGTCCCCTATTTCTCTCTTCCACCACCCTGGTAATCACTAATGAACACTGCTCTCCATGCATTTGTCTATAGCGGATATTTTCTAGGAATGGAAATATCCCAGTTCTAGTCAAAGAAAACAATGATTCATGGTGTCAATGAACCACATTTGGTATCTTCCTCCTACTGTTCACTCTCCTTCCCATTCCAGGCAAATAGAGACCAACTATTGGGCCCAGGATGACCACTAGCAGGCTTTTAAAATCCAAAACACTGTATTTTGAAGTTGGAAGTAGAAGAGAAGCAGTAACCATGCTTTTAGGCCAATTAACTGAGATGTTCTATGAAACAACAAATCCTATGTGGTTTTTACATAAACTGCTTCAGCAGCATTTTTTTTTTTTTGGCTGGGATGGGGAGGAGTGAGGTGGAATGAGCACGTACCGTAAATATATTTATTACACAACTTTTCCCAATTCAACTTTAATGAGTTGATTTAGTGACTACATTAATAATAATCTACTGTATAACTTCTAATATTTAAAGTGACCATTCTATAGCAATAAGACAAGAGAAGGGAATAAAAGGTATCCAAATAGGCAACGAGGAGGTAAAATTATCCCTCTATGCTGATGACATGATAGTATA